TAAACCCTAAACCCATAAACCCGTAGACCCTAAACCCTCAACCCCAAAACCCCTAAACCCTAAACCCAAAACCCCAAAACCCCTAAACCCTTAAACCCAAAACCCCTAACCCCCTAAACCCTTAAACCCTCAACCCCAAAACCCCTAAACCCTTAAACCCTCAACCCCCAAACCCCTAAACCCTTAAATCCTAAACCCGAGAACCATAAACCCTATATCCCAACCACCCTTTTTGTTCTCAAGGCGAGCCTTTCTGGATTTCCCCGGGGGCGCTGCTCTGGGGACCCCTTAAGTAAGGGTTTAGGGTTGAGGGTTGAGGGTTTGGGGTTGAGGGTTGAGGGTTTAGGGTTTAGGGTTATACCTTAAACTTTAGGGGCCTTTAAATCTTTTGATTTAAAGTAGTAAGGGGTCTTGATCTCTCCAGGGCACTTGGGGTGTCGAGGCGGGAGGGTGTAGGGTTGAGGGCTGAACAGAGGGGCCCTATTGAATAGTTACCTTTTTTTAAAATAGTTACCCATACTATTTTGGAGGTTCCTTACGATAATTCTCGTATAGTATACCTCAAAACCCCATTCTAATTATTAAGGCCCCTGCGTCGTTTAGAAGCCTCCCGAGACAGGTGGAAATGTCGGCCAAAGGGATGAAGGCCTTGAGGGAGGGGAGGGGGGGGGGGAGGTGGGGGCAGCTTGGGTTTAGGGCCTTTGGGGTTTAGGGTTTAGGGTTTAGGTGTTTAGGGTTTAGAGCTTAGGGCTTAAGGTTTGGGGCAGATTGGAACTAGTCTTTCAGACAAAGGCCCCACAACCCAAAATACGGTTCTTCGCTGTGCTATCTGCTACTCCACGAGCCTGATGTGAATTACAGGCTGTGGAAAGCCCAGAAAGCTGTACCATATCTCGAGGATTATTCTTAGGGTTTCGAGCATTCTAATCGTGAAAGCCCTGTGGAAGTTATGTGTACGAGACCCCTGATGAATCCCCGCTGTCGTAAGTATGCGGCAAGTGCCCGACAAACGAAAGAAGCTGCTCCAGGCTTGAGGAAAGGTGGGGAAGTTCGAGAATTTAGGTGCCGAAAGCAGAAGCCTAAGATGCATACCGTTTATGTGCTGCGTGTCTGCAGATACATGAACTTCTATGATATTTTACTGGTGCTGTTCTCTTGGCCGTCGGATGCACATGTTGCTCGGGGTGTTGCGAATGCAGTAACACGAGGCAACCCATATCAAAAACAGCAGCAGCAGCATCACACCAACCATCATCCTCATCGCTGAAGCTGACAGATAGAATTGAGCACCACTCGCAGAATATGGCCCTCGAAACCAGAAGCATTGTAGCGAGTTGCAACAGTGAGTGAATGTAAACAGCATTTTCCCTACGAGGCCTTCCGTAATTGTCCGGTTCCCATGCAAATCCGCTGTTCTACAAGTGTCAGACAGCAAGCACATGCTGCTTCTTGGCGCTGGCTGCCTCACGGCTGTTCTTCTGGCTTATATCGGGGTTTTCCTGGTCCTTTTTCTGGGTGGGCGTCTCCCATCGGCCGCTGTCGATGATGAGAATCACCAAGCCCAAGTTCGCATCAAAGTGATCCGGCTGCTCCCGCCAGGTTCACCAGGCTCCCTACCTTTATTGCTACATTGGCGCCCGCCGCCGGAGCTCAGTCGATGTGAGGAGACCCGGTCCAGAGCGAGGAGATTTGTTGCGGAGTGGGTGTTTGAAACCGGGCTTTACTGGGCCGACATTCTGCAAGATGCCATGACTCTTCTGGCATTCTACAAGGAGGAGTTCTATGGCTTCCTCTTCTTGGGCATTTGCCTTATGATGGTGCCTCCTATCTGTGTGTGGGCATTTAGGTATGCCCTTGAAAGGGCGCAAGTGTCCAACTTGCTTTTTCTATCATTCAGCTGGAGTACGTGTACCAGTCCACCATGTCTCTCATGACTGTGGAAAGGACCACTGACCTTTTCTGGCAAACAGCCGGAGAGGGTGGCCTTGAGGCACCGCTGCAGTGCATCCTGCAAATCTACAAAGTCCTTGTGACAGGCCAACAGGAGCGCGTTCCCCAATTCATGCTCTCGATCATCACATCTCTGTTTAGCACCGCAAACTCCTTTGGCAAGCTTGACAAGTATGGAAATGGCCTGTCAGTGCTGTCCTGGGAGCATGCCCGGCAGGTCTGCTGGCGGATCCTGTGGCTGGCCCCTCGCCTGTTGGGACTGCCGATCTTCGCCTATTTGACACGACCACATCATGTTGGCTTACATGAAAACAAGCAAGTGGTGGTGTTTGTTTATGCCGCTTTGGAGCTTTTCTTGACTTGGCAGATTGTGATTCGCAGGTCTTCTGTACGGTATGTTCTGGGAGTACAGCTGTTTTTTGCCGCTCTGACGATGATGGCCGTGCCGCCAGTCATGCTACCGTCTGTCCGTCGCAAGCTGCCAGTCTACGCCACACAGCGCCCGATGAGTTTCTTCGTTATGGCGCAGCTTGGGATGAGCATGTCTCCCATAAACAGTGCTCACACCCAGCTGCTTCTTCAGCCTCCAGCCGTATTTATTCTGGCAGTCTTCATCTTGACATTCATGTCATGGCTCGTGGCGGCAATCAACATCCTTGTCCAAGAGTGTTGTCATCGAGATGCGAACGGCCGTGAGGACGATTATGCTCTCTTGGGAATAGAGCCTGGCGCAAAATTCGAGAGAGAAAGGCAAGAGAGACAGCTAGCAGTGGCTTTGCGCGAGGCTGTTGCTTCCGGGGACGAAATTCTTACAACGTTCCTTCTGCAAGAAGGAGCCTCTGTGGATGGAAAGCATGATCCTGGCGTTGGTGTGTTGGAGTTGGATTTGTGGCGTGGGCAGAAGTTTGCAGAAGCCGTGAGGTAGGAGTGCCGGTCTGCTGACCATGAACATTCCTGCTCCAGATGCTGATGGGGAGTGGTATTACGAAGTGGAAATATTTCAGCATGACCAAGCATCTTTCCGTGTGGGGTGGGCAGTTCCCGGAGATTGCATGCGTATGCCGGATATGGGACCCTTTCGGCCACTTGGCAGCTTGGATGATACTGGCGAAGACGATAGCCCCACCAAGTTGAGCATGGTTTCTTCTTTTGCAGCTGCGTGGGTAGTAGATGTGACATCCGGACATATCTTGCACACGGATGGTGCCGGGACATCAAGCAAAGTTGCCTCGCTGCCTGAAGCCAAAGTGTTGGGCTGTGTGGCGAAGATTCGCTCCGGGACGGGCCAGCTGTTTTTCGTGACGCAGGGAGATGCCGAAGCCAAGGTGACGGAGGCATGCAAATTTGACATCCAAGGCCGCAGACTTCTGCCGGCAATCAGCGTTATGGGATCCTCTTGGCACTTCCGCGTGAACGTTGGAAACGAGCCCTTCCTGCTGCAGCCAGAGGGGGCATCTGCGGTGCTCACGGCAAGAACAGGTGATCCGCCCGGGGTGACAGCAGCACGAAATGGTCACTGGTCCACTTGCAGGCTTCTCCTTGATCGTGCAGCGGATGTAAACGGCATGGACAGCATCAGGCGTAGGACCATGCTGCATTACTTCGCTGATCAGGGGCAGGAGGATGCTGTTAGCTGCTTGATTCAGCGGCACGCGGACATTTGGCTACAGGATTCAGATGAGCAGGATGCACTGACGCTGGCGCAGTCAGCGGGGAGCTGCAGGTTGATTCTCACAGCTGCCGGTGACCGGCTTGCAGAGCTCATCTCTAGGCCGTCCCGTGGAGGCTGGTTCACTGCTTTGCACCACGCTGCGGAGCATGGGAAAGCAATGCTAGTGCGTCTGCTGCTGGAGTGGAGAGCAGAGGTCGATGGCCCCATGCCTCAGACTCCCTTGATCTGGGCCGCAGCACGAGGTCGCAAAGAGTGCGCGGAACTCCTGATCCGAGGCCGGGCGGATGTGAGTCGGAGAGATCAAACGAACCTCGATGCTCTGTCATGGGCCGAGAAGGCCTATGCTTCGAAGTTGGGCGGCTTCGCCAAGCTGCCGCGGGAGCAATGCGATGCATTGCAGAAGGATCTGCTCCTTCTGCTCACCGAGTCCTAGGACTGAGGATGCCTCCTCCGCACCCGAGTTGCAATGTAGGGGCCTTAATGATTGAAATAGGGTTTGGGGGTATATTATATCATAATTATACTAAGAAAACCCCAAAAGCCTATTCGAAGCATTAAGGCCCCTACATTAGAATGCGAAGTCGCATGACAATCAGCTGGCCAGACCGTCGATCTCGGCACAGCAAAACGTCGGCTGGTTGTGTTGACGGTGCACTCACGGTTTAGGGTTTAGGGTTCAGGGTTTAGGGTTCTGGGTTTAGGGTTTAGGGTTTAGTGTGCCTGGTGTGTTTCAGTCGAGGTTTAGCTGCTAAGTTTAGCTGTTGGGATTTCGGGTTTCGGCGCGCCCAAGTGTCCAGAGCTGGGAAGGTGACCCTCAACGGGGATCTCTTCAAGCCTCTCTCTGCAGACTTCCTCGGCTTGGTGTGGCGATTCAAATCCTGGTGGCTCCGGCAGACATTCAGAAACCTGCAGGAAGACTGCGAATCGGCTAAGAAGCTCCTCTTTCTTCATCTGCACGTGCACAGTTTCCTCAAGTAAGCGCTTGTTTCATGTCCCCGCCGCTGCTTGGAAAGTCTCCGACGAAAATCCTGACCCCAGTTCCTGAATCCTCTTCCCTCTTACCCCCTGTCACCATCCCCTAAATCATAGACTTTGCCACATCCTTCCAGCAAGTCCCAGCAGATAGAATGCCAGTTTGTTCCAGTGCTAGGATATCTTGCGCATCAGTGGTATATGCGCTCATACATTCCAGCTGCCGTGCTCTGTTGATCGCTTCGCCTCTCTCTCTCTCTCTGTCTCCGTTTCTTTCTTTCTTTATTCCTTTCTTCCTGTCTTCCCTCTCTCTTTCCACTTCTCCAGGTCGCCCCTTGTCTCTCTCTCTCTCCCTGGCTGTCTCTCTCCTCCTCTCGCGCTTTCCGTTTCTACATCACATGTGTGTGGAGTATCATCCAACTAGCTGCGAGGCTATTTCTTCCTACGTATCTCAGTAGCTTATTTTGTACGTGTGCGTGCAAGGTTGTACGGACATCGTCGGAGTCTTACGTCTATTTGCACGGATGAAGTAAGGCCCTAAACCCTAAACCCTAAACCTAAACCCTAAACCCTAAACCCTAAACCCTAAACCCCGCAGAACTTTCCTATGCAAAGGCCCTGTCTAAGGACCAACTGCGACTTTGAGTTTCGGGCCCAGCCTTGGAAGCTTAAAAGGGGGTAATATAAGGGCCTTAATAGTTGGACGAGGGTTTGGGGTATATGGTTTAGGGGTTTAGGGTTTAGGGTTTAGGGTTTAGGGTTTAGGGTTTAGGGTTATACTATATTTATAAAAAGGACCCCCTCAAAACCCTATTCTAATGATCAAGGCCCCTACAGTAAGCGGAGGCAGCTCTTCAAGCCTGAAGCATGCGGTGCCTGAGCGATGAAAAAGCAGCTGCCCTCATGTTGCCGAGGTGGACAGTGGAGGGCGGCGTGCTCATCATCCACGTCTTTAAACGTGCCTGGGCTGTGACCGCAGTTTGAGTTTCAAGATCCTCAGCTACTTGGGTCATTCTGCTGGAACCAGGTGTACTGCCGCAATCAAGCCTTCACTGAATCTGTAACGACCGGGACGTGCTCCAGAGAAAGACGGCGTTTTGGTGTCCTGATCAGACGAGCTGCTGCTACAGTAGACAAACCTTGACAGGGGTGCCTCTAGAGTTGACCAAGTTGGAAGACTTAGAACACAGTTGGGCGGTATGTTGCACGTTACTGTTGATGATATAAATCCTGCACTACCTTCAGAACCCTAAACTACGAGAGTTATGGGAGTTATGGTATATTCCTCATTATGGGTTATGCAGGATTTATATCATCCACCGTATGGCTCCACTTGCACAGACGATGCAAAGGAGTGATCACCCCTGAGCTACTCTGCTAAACAACCCTAAGACCTCTCGACCCTGATTAACCCCAAATCCTCAAGCAAGTCTAGGAAGGCACAAACAAACAAACTACGGCTGATGATATAAATCCTGCATTACCCCATAATAAGGAATATACCATAATTCCCATAGTTTTGGGTTGGTCTTAAGGCAATGCAGGATTTATATCATCAACAGTAGTTTCTACCCAAAACCCTAAACCCTATCAACCCTAAACCCTAAACCCGATGCCCTAAACCCTAAACCCTAAACCCTAAACCCTAAACCCTAAGCCCTAAGCCCTAAGCCCATCTTGCAGTGCCAAGGACAGATGGCCACCTGGCGATTCCCTTTCCATCGCGACACCGGCGGCACGGGCCTTTTCAGGACGCTGCCGGGAGCTTCAAGGGTGGGGTTGTGGTGGGTAATGTAGGGGCCTTCATACATGATTAGAATAGGGTTTTGAGGGATATTATATTATAATTATAATAAGGAGCCCCCAAAAGCCTGTTCAATAAGTTATTTGCAAAAGGGTCTTTGAGGGTTTTTTATACTATAATTGTAGTAAGGAGCCCCCAAAATAGTATTGGTAATAATTCAGGCCCCTAAATTCGGTTGTGACGGAAAGGCTCACGGATCGAGGTTCTGCCTCCTTGGTGCACGCAAGCATCTGGCAATGAGGTTTTGCAGGCGCGGAGGTGGTCCAACGTCTGTCTGTGAACGCCTGGCTTTCGACCCTTCGTGGTTGAAACTTCATGACAAGCCTCACTTTTCCCAAGCATGAGCTCCGTAGATTTTCCCAAGCATGAGCTCGGTAGACATAACAGAATCCCCCAACCCACCCTAGACCCTAAACGCCCCACCTCAACTCCACAGAAACGGCAAGCCCTCCCCCCGAAACTTCAGATCCGCAGGAGAAATCCGTTCCCCTGGACACCCGCCATGCGGGATTCGCCGGGTGGAACGAACATCTCACACTTGGACACCAACTACGCCAAGGACCTCACGGTTTAGGGTTTAGGGTTTAGGGCTTAGCGTTTAGGGTTTAGGGTTTATGGTTTTAGGGGTTTAGGGGTTTAGGGGTTTAGGGTTTAGGGTTTAGGGCTTACTTGGAGGATCATGGGACTTAGTAAGTAAGGTTATAAGTACCCTAACTGGGGTTATAATTATAGTTACCTTATTT